CAGGAAGGAATTTTTCCCCAGGTTAGAGTTGCAGAGACCGTTAAGGGGGGGGGGGGGAGTTCCTCCCTCTGCAGCATGGGGCAAGGTCACTTGATGGTTTGATCTAGACTAAATTATGGGTTATTTGTAACTTTAAGTCTTTATATCAAGATTTGAGGACTTCAGTAACTCAGTCAGAACTTATGGGCCTACCACAGGGGGAGTGGTTGAGATTCTGTGACTTGCAATGTGCATGAGATCAGACTACATGATGATGATTGTCCTTTCAGCATCTGAGTCTATGAGACCCCTTAGGAAGATCGCACAAAAACATTGCCAAGATGTTTGCAGGTATAGCATGGTTGGGCATTAAAGAAAGGTTTAATAACATCTGCAGATTATTTGGTACAGTATAAATTCCATGTCAACAAATCTGGCCTCATGTTGTTTTTTTTAATTAAAAGTCATTTAACAACTTTATTGGGCTCCTCCAGAGAGATGTCAAGGATTTTAACTATTTAGACATAACACTTGATTAGAAGAGTTGAAAGAATTGTGTAATAATTGTCCTCTTATTCTTAGAAATGGTGTTTAGAATTTCTACATATGATGTGCACTTCTATTTCCAGATTTCAAGGAATATTGTTTTAGGTAAAAGAAACTAACACTTTTCTCAGATGCAGGAGGGTAAAATTGATATAACTCTTTTGTGGCTTCAGTGAAGTTCCTCTGACATTGTGGATGTCCCTTCAAATGTTTTCAGTGGTGATCAGGATTATGTAATACCTGCTGTACTTCTCCATTCTCTGAATCCTGTCTCAAAATTTGTGAAATTGGAGAACAGACAGCAGAGTGGTTCATAAAGGAACGTATGCTACTGGAGTTTTGCTGTCATGAAGCCTGGTAGGGTCTTTTGGGGATAAGGGAAGGAAACATGTGAAGTCACTTTGGCCATGATCCCGCAACTGCATGTAAGTGGGTGAACCCCTGTGCCAAAGTATAGACTCACTGAAGTCAAAGGGAGTCCATGCAGACACAGAGGCCTGCTTGTGAGCATGCAGTCGCCAAACTGGACTCTTTGTGTGCAGAGCTGCAGATATACATAGGATTTGGAAGCCAAACATCTACAGAGAAATAAACATTGCCATCCCCAGATTGGACATACATTTTGAAAGCCCAAATTTACTAATGGTCTGATTCAAAGCCAGTTGAAGTCAGTAGAGTCTTTCCGTTAGCTTCAGTGTCATAGGTTTAAGACCTGGAGTTTTCTGCCCTTTAGAGGGATACATAAGAGATGATCTAACCCAGGGATCGGCAACGTTCGGCACGCTGCTCACCAGGATAAGCACCCTAGCGGGCCGGGCCAGTTTATTTACCTGCTGACGCGGCAGGTTCGGCCGATCGCAGCCCCCACTGGCTGCGGTTCGCCGTCCCGCCACCCCCATTGGCCCGGGACAGCGAACCGCGGCCAGTGGGGGCCGCG